GTGGGCAGCCCACTTGGTGTTGCCTCTTCGGTGCTTTCTCAAGACACTCTTTCGGCTTTGTCCGAACTCCAACCCGAACATGTTCGTATGATGTTGAATATGGTTAATAATAAACCACATGATAAGATGACCGGTGAGTATTTTTCCTTATCTTGGATAGTCGACACTGGGGCCTCTCATCATGTTACCGGTGATGACTCTTGTTTGTTAGATGTCACCTCTATAACTCCTTGTCCCGTAGGGCTTCCGGATGGTGCTCATGCTATGGATACAAAGCAGGGCCGAGTGTGTTTAGCGAATGGCATTATCCTTGAAAATGTTCTATTTGTTCCGAAATTAAATTGCAACTTAATATCGGTGTCAAAAATGATTGATGATTCGCATTGTTTTGTCCGATTCACTGACTCTTTATGTGCTATACAGGACCAACACTCGGGGAGCCTGATTGGAGCCGGTGAACGGATAGATGGACTCTACTACTTCCGGCGCATTCCTACAGTTTCTGCGGTGACGATTCCAGAAGTTTCTACATTTGAGCTGTGGCATCGTCGTTTGGGACATCCGTCGGACAATAAAATCAAGTTAGTGCCTGCTATTAGTTCTAGTTCTAGTAGAAAATTTTTGAATAAGGCTTGTGAAATTTATCCTCAAGCTAAGCAATCACGGGATAGTTTCCCTGCTAGTGATAGTAGAGCTAGTCGAATTTTTGAAATGTTACATTGTGATTTATGGGGTTCGTATAAGACACCTTCCACTTGTGGTGCTCACTATTTTCTTACTATTGTTGATGATTATTCTAGAGGTGTTTGGGTCTATTTGTTAACTGACAAAACTGAAGTTTATTCTTCTTTCAGCTCTTTCTTTGCCATGATAAAATGTCAATTTGATGCTACTGTGAAATGTGTACGGAGTGATAATGGTACGGAGTTCAAACACATGTTACCCTATTTTAATGAACATGGCATTCTTTTTCAAACCTCTTGCGTTGGTACACCTCAACAAAATGGTCGGGTAGAGCGTAAACACCAACATATTCTAAATGTTAGTAGGGCTTTGATGTTCCAAGGCAACTTGCCAATTACCTTTTGGGGGGAATGTGTCCTTGGGGCGGTTTATTTGATTAATCGCACTCCATCCCGCTTGTTATCCAATAAAACCCCATATGAAATTATTTTCGACAAACAACCAAATTTTGAGGCATTACGGGTGTTTGGGTGTCTCTGTTTTGCTCATAATAAAAAATCTAAGGGTGACAAATTTGCTCCTCGAAGTCGAAAGTGTGTATTTGTGGGTTACCCTCATGGTAAGAAAGGTTGGAAGTTGTATGACTTTGACACGGGTGATATTTGTATCTCGTGATGTTAAATTCTATGAAAATGAATTCCCATTTGCGGTTTCTAGTGACTCCACACACTCTCATGTAAGTGTTGACGAAGTGCCTAATGTTACTACTGGAGTTGACTACAACTTCTTGGATGATCTTGAACATGTACTTGAGGTTGGTGACACCTCGAACGCGCTGGGTTCACAGGCGGGTAGTGCAGGCACCGTGCTTGACTCACCCACATCTCCTGCTAACACATCTGTTGCTACCCATTCTACCGCTTCCCCTATTGCTGTTGCTGGCAGCCTGGACCGCAGCCCACTTGCGGAGCCCAGTGCTGACCGCAGCCACCCTGCGGCGTCTACTGCTACTGGTCTTGAGGGTGCTACGGCCAGCAACACAAGGGAGGTTTTGAGCTCCTCTCCCCTTGATTTGGGACGTGGTCAACGTCCAAGGCACCCTCCAGGTTGGCACCCGTGATTATGTGGCCCATACTGTTTCTCTACCCGGTCCATCTATCTATCCACGTTCATCGTCTACTCCTTGCTCCCCAGGTACTCCCTATCCTTTGGCACATATTGTGAATTATGATAAATTTTCTGTGCAACACCGTGTATTTATTGCAGCTGTTGACAAGGTGGTTGAGCCACGTAATTTCAAGGAAGCTATGCAAGATGCGGGGTGGAGGGAGGCAATGCAAAAAGAAATATCTGCCTTAGAAAATAATGGAACATGGGTGATGACGAAATTACCTCCGGGTAAGAAAGCTCTTGGATGCCGCTGGGTGTACAAGGTCAAGCTTAAGTCAGATGGCTCAGTTGAAAGATTGAAGGCTCGTCTCGTGATCTTTGGTAACCATCAGGTTGAGGGTATCGATTATAAAGAGACATTTGCTCCCGTTGCTAAAATGGTTACAGTTCGTGCAGTTCTTGCTGTTGCTGCTGCGAAAAATTGGGAGTTACACCAAATGGATGTACACAATGCCTTTCTGCATGGTGATCTTGATGAGGAGGTTTATATGAGACCTCCTCCTGGATTTCATGGCCCTCATTCGGGTCTGGTGTGCCGTCTTCATAAATCTTTATATGGACTACGGCAAGCACCTCGTTGTTGGTTCTCAAAATTGGCCACCTCTTTGCAAAGGTACGGTTTTTCGCAATCGTACTCTGACTACTCTCTTTTTACTCTGAATCATGGAGATGTTCATCTTAGTGTTCTGGTGTATGTTGATGATTTAATAATTTCTGGGAATGATTCTTCTGCGATTTCAACGTTCAAATCATATTTGAGTGACTGTTTTCATATGAAAGATTTGGGTGTGTTGAAGTACTTCCTTGGTATTGAGGTTGCTCGGAGCCCGGAAGGCATATTCTTATGTCAACGGAAATATACTCTTGATATTATTCCAGAGTCTGGTTTGCTAGGGGCACGTCCAGCAGGTACTCCTATTGAGTAAAATCATACTCTGGCTAAATCAGAGACTCCTGTAATTGCAGATCCCGAAATGTATCGCCGTCTTGTGGGTCGCTTCATTTATTTGTCTTTTACTAGACCTGACTTGGCCTATACAGTGCATATCCTGTCTCAGTTTATGCATCAACCTCGACAAGATCATTGGGATGCGACACTCCGTACGGTTCGCTATTTGAAAGGTTGCCTGGGTCAAGGAATCCTTCTGCGTTCAGATTGCAATTTACATTTGACAGGTTGGTGTGACTCGGATTGGGCTAGTTGCCCTATGACAAGACGTTCGATTTCTGGCTGGTTGGTATTCCTTGGTGGCTCTCCTATTTCTTGGAAGACTAAGAAGTAACATACTGTTTCTAAGTCTTCTGCAGAGGCAGAGTATCGCTCGATGTCTAAAGTTACTGATGAGTTAAAATGGTTGAAGTCTCTACTCTACAGTTTGGGAGTTTCGCATCCCCGTGCGATGAGCTTGTTTTGTGATAGTCAATCTGCGTTGTATATTGCGCAGAATCCTGTCTTCCATGAACGCACTAAACATATTGAGGTTGATTGTCATTATGTTAGGGACGCAATTCAGGAAGGGGTCATTAATCCGTCGTATGTACCAACAACAGATCAACTAGCAGACATTTTCACAAAGGCATTAAGTAAAAATCAATTCTTGTATTTGTTTGGCAAGTTGGGCATTTGTGATTTGCATGCTCCAACTTGAGGGGGGGGGTGTTAGGCCCGTATATAATGTATAGTGTACGGGTTAATATAATTGAGCCCTAATCTCTCTGATAGGTTGTATATATATACCTATTTATACTCTAATACAACTACGGAAAATTAATTCCTGACATTCTTAGAGCATGATGTTAGCAATCGGGAGGAACTTCTCCTGCTTCTCGGTGGTTATCTCAGCCCCAAATTGGCGGGCCAATGCACCAATAATCATGGGCATGGCTATGAAAAACATTATAATAATACACTTCATTTTCTGCATGATGGGAATAACTACTTGTATTTTTGTGAATGTTAATTGATAGAAGCTTGGACAAAGAACTCTCGTTTTTATAACCCAACATGGAAAAGGTGTGGACATAATAATGTGTTATGTGTACGTTCTTAGATAATTGATGAACGAACTGTATTCCCTCTCTTCTCCTATGGTCCCTTAAATTTTGTGTAACACGTTTTATAGTATTAGTAGAGTATTATGTTAGCAAGAAGAGTGATTGAAGATAATATGACTAACCCAGTTGGACTAATTGTTGTTTATAAATTGTAATGGATAAAATTCAGTTATTTACTTTTTTTTTTCTTTGTTAAATGTTTTGAACAATGAGATGGCCCCAATTGAAAGGACTCATTAAAATAAATATTAATGCATATGTTTGATTGTGCAGTAAATCTAATATATATAAATAAAGTAGGTATTTTTGGAGAGCATTTGGAACGCCACGTAAGAAATATACTTATTCCGACCAATAAGAAGAAAGATTTGTACTTTATTTTAGAATTAAAAAATTATGTTGCCAACTACATAAAAGTAACAAATTAGATTTGATATACCTAAAATTTTAATACCACATCCACGAATTAATTTATTTTATTGAAAAAAAATAAAGTAAAAATATAGGAAAAGATATATTTATTAATTCAATACTACGAGTATAAAAAATCCAAAAAATATATATACTAAAAAATATTTAAATGATAAACGCTTATTGTTAGATTGTGAAACTCCGTGATCGAGAGTATTCCATTGATCCATATTTATAGGTTACAATATGTACGATAGTCCTAACTGTGTTAGGAAACCTATCAAGATAAGATAATATTTACATTAAATATATCCTAAACCTATGAAGAGAATATCTCAATAATATTCTCTATCACACCCCCACAGTCATAGCGGGAGGAGGTCGTACGCTAAGACTGGATCTGAAATCCAAAAATAAGTCTCGAGATAGGCCTTTTGTGAATATATCAGCAAATTGATGTCGTGACGGAACATGTAGCACCCGTACTTGACCCAATGCAACTTTCTCACGAACAAAATGTATATCCAATTCGACATGTTTCGTGCGTGAACCGGGTTCGTAGACAAATAGACTGCACTTATATTATCACAATAAACAACAGTGGCCTGTCGGAGAGGACAATGTAGCTCAAGTAGTAGATTTTAAAGCCAACAAGCCTCAGAGACAACATTAGCAACGCCTCAGTATTCTGCTTCTGCACTAGATTTGGATAATGTATATTGACGCTTTGATGACCAAGAAATGAGATTGTCACCTAAAAAACAACAGTAACCAGAAGTTGAACAACGAGTGTCAGGACAACCCGCCCAATCCGCATCAGTATAAGTAACCAACCGTGTAGTAGCAGAAGGATATAAATGTAACCCATGATCAATGGTTCCTTTTACATAACGCAGAATACGATGTAATGCACCTAGATGTGGCTCGCGAGGATCGTGCATAAACAAACATACCTGTTGTACCGCATACGCAATATCAGGGCGAGTGAAAGTGAGGTACTAAAGGGCACCTGCAAGGCTGCGGTATTTGGTAGGATCCTTCACTGGAGGACCCAAATCAAGACTAAGTTTAGACTTAGCCTCCACAAGAGTAATAGCAGGGTTACAACTACCCATACCTGCACGTTCAAGAATTTCTTGTGCATACTTCTGTTGAGAAAGAAGCATGTAAGATGGTGTGCGAGTCACTGAGATGCCCAAAAAATAGCTCAAATACCCCAAATCAGACATTGGAAACTCGGTTTTCAACTGAGTAATAATTTTCCCACGCAACCCATCGGAAGAAGCAGTCAAGATAATATCATCAATATAGAGAAGTAAGTATGGCATATCTTTACCATGACGATAAGTAAAAAGCGATGTATCACTCTTTGCAATGAAAAAACCCATCTTGATCAAGAAATTAGCAAACCGTTAATACCAGGCTCGAGGTGCCTATTTTAGACCATATAATGCCTTTCGGAGCAAGCAAACATAATCTGGAACACGTTTGTCAACAAAACCAGGTGGTTGATGCATGTATACAGTCTCTTTTAAATCACCATGAAGGAATGCATTTTTCACATCTGGTTGATGAATAGACCAATTACGAGCCATAGCCAAACTTAGAACAGTGCGAATAGTAGCCGGTTTAACAAACGGGCTAAAAGTCTCATCACGATCAATACCTTTTTCCTGCGACCTGCCATCACAAACAAGACGAGTCTTGTGCCTTTCAAGGTCGCCGTTAGAATTTTCTTTATGTCTACATATCCACATACAATTAACAATATTTACCCCTGTAGGCCTAGGTACCAAATTCCAAGTCCCTGTTTCAATCAAAGCAAAATTCATCTTGCATCGCCGCATTCCAATTTGGGTCAGCCAAGGCTTGTTTATGAGATTTTGGCAATGGAGATCGTTGTGGAGTTTGGCTATCTGGTTGAACAATTAAAGCATGGGCATACTTTGGATTTGGTTTAAAAATACCATGGCGTGCTCGGGTTTGCATTTGAGGTGATGGATATGTTGGTTGAATGGGTGGCACTCCTCGCAAGGGGGGAGGTGTATAGATCTGGGCTAGTGTGTGATGAGTGGGTGGGCTAGAGCTAAATTGGGGTGGGAAGAGGGCTCGTTGCACTGATGGGCTAGGGGAGTGGGCTGCGAGTGAAGGGGGGGAGGGATATTGAGGCGCATGCAGGGGAGACCCCAGGTGGGCTGCGGGAGACAGACTTGGGCCGCGGTCTGGCTGCGGTTGGGAGGAGGAGGGAGATTGAGGCGCATGCAGTGGAGACCGCAGGTGGGCTGGGAGAAAGGCTTGGGCCGCGGTCTGACTGCGGTTGGGGCTGCTCTTTGCTTGGGCCTATGTGAAGGGGAGAGTTGATTGTGGTTTGTGAGCCATGGTTGTGGGATGGACATGCGTGTGGGCTTCTTTGTTGCGGGTTAGGAAGAAGAGGATACAACAAATGTGGCGAGGGTGAATCATCACCTAAGAAATCGTAATCCTGGCTTTGGAAGTGAGCTAGATTTCGAAAAGGGAAGGTCGCTTCATCAAAGATAACATGACGCAAGATGATTATTTTATAGGTGGTGAGATCAAGACATCTATACCCTCTATGGTCAATAGGATAACCCAAGAACACACATGGTGTCGATCGAGGAGCTAATTTATGTGGAGTTGTAGCAGACAAATTAGGAAAACAAAGACACCCAAAGACACGAATGTGATAATACGAAGGGGTTTTTCCAAACAAGGGAAAAGCAGGAGTATTGTTTTTGAGAGCTTTTGTTGGCAAAATATTTAAAAGATAAGTGGCTGTTTCTAGAGCATAAAACCAATTCGGGGGGGGGGGGGGGAGACGCATGAAAAAGAATTGTACACTTAATGTTATTAAGTGTACGTATCATACGTTCAACTTTACCATTTTGTGAGGAGGTGTGTGGACAAGAGAAGCGGAAAAGCATCCCATGTTCAAAACATTGTTGCTTAAACGGGTCATTATCAAATTCTCTACCATGGTCACATTGAAAGCATTTAACCTTACGTTCAAATTGGGTTTCAACATAATTTCGGAAATTGATAAATGAATGAAAAGCTTGAGATTTGTATTTGAGGGGAATGGTCCACACAAAATGAGTATGATCATCTAATAAGACTAGATAGTATTTGTGACCTTGAGAACTACGAATGGGAGACGTCCATAAATCGGCATGTATGATATCAAAAGCACAAACTGTAGTAGTATTAGAATTATCAAATGGAAGTCGAGTATGTTTTCCTAATTGACATGAATTGCAAAACGTGGAGTCATGCTCCTTATTACAATAAATATAATTTTTAGACTTAAGATAGCTAAAAACTTGAGCTCCAGGGTGTCCAAGACGACTATGCCAAGTAGAGGAGGAAGCAACAATGAGGGAAGTAGCAAGACAAGTTGATGGAGTGGACTTGGTGGTGCTCACTGGATATAAATCTCCCGAACTATCACATCTCGTGATTGTTCTCCCCGTACGAAGATCCTTCACAGAGAAACCAAAAGGATCAAACTTAATAGACACAGGATTATCAGTGGTAAATTTACGGACTGAAATAAGTTTCTTAATGAGTTGAGGTGCTAAGAGGACATCACGAAGGACAAGAGGTGTGTTAGAATGGGGAAGGGTGCCATGACCATAACCCGTTACTGGAATATGATGACCATTTCCAACTAAAATATGATTTTTAGTGCTTAATTTAAACAAGGGTAAGATATTACCGGCGTTATTCGTCATGTGAGATGTGGCACTCGAATCCACATACCACTGATTATCGGGGTTTGGAAGAGTCATCGTAGAGAATGACGACGCCAAGTCCGTTGGAGTCATAGGCTGCCCGTAAATAGGCTGGGCTGCATATGCTTGTTGTGGTCTGGGCTAACCAAGAATGGACCGTTGTTGCTGTTGCTGGACTGGAAATGGAGCAGGAGGCCTGGCCCATGCGGTTTGCTGAGCCCATTGCTGGAAGCTTGCCCAAAGTTGTTGCTGAGTTGGGCTGGACTAATTTAGGGTAGTAGATTGGGCTTGGGATGGCTGTTGTTGCTGACCACGTCCTCTGCCTTTCCCTTTTGCCTTTCCACCCCTGCCTTTGTTGCCACGGCCACTGCCACCACCACCCCTGCCTTGTTGTTGCGGTTGTTGCTGCTGTTGGGCGGCTGCCGCGATGGTGGTGGTGGTGGTGTTGTTCGTTTGTGTAACAAACGCTTGTCCGGAGTTTTCTTTTGTTGATTTTCGGGACTCCTCTAACAAAATTCGTGATCTTGCTTCATCAAATTCGGGAAGAGGTCGAATTTGAGTGATGGATTGAGCCACTCCATCATAGTCTAAGTCAATTAAACCTGCACAAAGACGTAAAACCAAAGTTCTCTCGGACACGGGTTGACCAACGTTATTTAGTTGATCCTTGAGTTCCTTCAATTTCTGGCAGTAAGAAGACACATTCGGGAAATTCTCAACAAAAAGATTGTTAAATTGATTCTCAAGATAAATAGCACGAATTTCACCGTTATCTTGAAAAATTATTAGCGAGTCTATCCCAGATCTCCTGTGCCGTAGCATTCTTGTACAACACTATACTTCTTAAATCTGTAGAAATTGTATTATAGATCCACTTTTTCACAATCGAGTCAAGGCGGTTCCATTGCGTCGTGGTGAGGTCCGTAGGACGAGGAGAATTGGGATCTATATGGTCGATAACATTGCAAGAATGACAATGAATGAATCTCGAAAAGTTAAACCCAACTACCATAATTCCCTTTGTCACGATCAAGAATTTCAGGTACTTCGTTCCTGATGTTGCTAATAACATTAGCCGGGTGGTAGTCATTAGAGGGATGGGGTTGTTTTCATTGCTCCCAACCATTGGTAAAGAAGTAAGGGGAAAGAACTATGATGTGCGTAGCTTCCACCAAAGAAATCAAAGAAAAGAATTTTCTTTTTTTAAATTAAGCACCAGTATTTGATGATTGGGGAGTGCCGTGGTATTGCATGCAACTACCACAGAAGAGTAAAAGAAAGAAAAGAGGAAGAGAGGAAAAAGATCTAGGAAAAATTGTGAAACCCTAAAAAAATCTAGGTTGTGATACCATGTTAGATTGTGAAACTCCGTGATCGGAGAGTATTCCATTATATTGATCAATATTTATAGGTTACAATATGTACGACAGTTCTAACTGTGTTAGGAAACCTGTCAAAATAAGATAATATTTACATTAAATTTATCCTAAACCTATGAAGAGAATATCTCAATAATATTCGCTATCACTTATAATAAAGTTTGATACCTATCATTATAAGATAAATTTTGATAGTATTTATGATAAGAGTTACAAATGGAGAGGCCTCTCCGCTGACATGGAGAGGTCTCTTCATGTGGAGATCGTGCCTCGTTCAAGAGAGGCCGCTCTTTCTAATTTCTTCACCTTGCAAAGTTGAGGCAGAAACTTCCGGCTAGGCTTGGAGAGGCCTCTCCACTAACCAGGAGAGGCCGCGCCTAAGGAGAGGTTGCGCCACTCTATGGAGAGGCCGCTCCACTGCACATCTCTCTTTCTTCATGACTTGGCTTCTTTCCATCATCTTCTTGCTTCCAACCTCGGTTTATTATCCTAGGACTTCAATTGGTCGTTTTTAAACCTAAAAACTCAAGAAAAACAGTAACAACCTGTGAAGCAAAGGATATATAAAAAATGCATGAAAATTGAGTAAAAGTGAACCAAAACACCAATCTATCAAGCGATCAAGGCTCAAAAACACCCTAAAATCATATCAAATAACAGGTTATCAGGTGTCATCATGGATCATGCCGGGACTGTACATGAATTATTTGCGATCAATTGTGGTCATTGTTCTTGTACTAGAGCAGAGCTTTGTGCAGTGCTAAGGGGCCTAGCAGTAGTCTCAACCAGAAGCCATAGGAAAATTAGTTTGCAAGTAGACTCTAAAGTTGTATTAGTGGGTCTGTTGTTGGAGTCAACTCCCTCCAACTCTCCTTTTACTCATATCCCTCAAAAGTGTAAAGCTCTAGTTGATAGAAAGGGGTAAATTATCACTATCGGTCATTGTTACATGGATGTTGATAGAGTAGTGATTTGGCTCGCTAATTTAACTATGGGGTTACCTTGGAGCACAAAATGGTACTTTTTGAGGCGATCCCAAAATTTTTTGGTGATGTTTTATTAAAGGACTTGCGCAGAATGGCTATTCCTAGGATGATTCCAAAGAATTAGCTAAGTTGGGACTTGGGTCTGGCAGTAGTAGTTTTTATAGCTTTGTTTTCGTTTGTTTTGCTTTCTTTCTTTTGTTTTCTAGTTTGTAGCTTTCTTGTTCTTCTTATGGGTCTTGCCCCTCGGCTTCACCAAATTATTTTTAAAAAATAATAAAAAAAATGGAGGAATTATAATATAGACCCACTCATGTTGGGTTAATGCTCACAATTGAAGTAGCTAGTCTTGGGCCGAAATATTGGGCTTCACACAAAACCGTGAGTAACATGACACTAATTGGGCTTAGGCCGAGTAAAGATTTATAGTTAGAGCAAAACTCATAAAAGAAATTTTGAAAGGAACTCGTGAAAGTAATAGGCGAAACACTAGATTAGTTTTCATGCACGTACCGACAATATCAAGGTTTTTTTTTTATTGTTTGACGAGTAACATAACATAATAATAGGCGATTTTTTTTTTAAACCACATAATAACATATGTCAGTGGATAACTTGATATTCGCTTTTAGTATAGCTGTATAGGTTTATTGATCCGATGGTTGTACGAGTATTTGATAAAACAAAATCTTGCTAATTATATCCATCCTAACCTTTAAAATATTTTCCCTCTCCACATTTTTATTTCCTCTAAAGGTAATTGGTCTAAAGTTATCAATACCCACGTCAATTTATACAGTCAATTGATCTTATATAGTATATTGCCAAAAAAATAATTGATCTTATGTGATACTATTATTGTCTAATAGTTTAACTTGTATATATGTACATTGATAGAGTTATGAGAAAGAGATTGTTAGAAAGCTTGATTATATTGAAGAGTATATAAGAGTATTTATAGTACATAAGTAAGCATTAGAGTATGACTAATAAATACATTAGACTACTAGAGTATATGTCTAGTTACATTAGACAATAGTTAGGGAAATCTTTAACAATGAACCTAGCTAATTGTGTAAATCAAGGGATAATGAAATTGATGATATCATTATCCTTTACACGCCCCCGCAGGATGGACTTCCGAAACGAGAGTCCAATGTTGGATATAGCATCTCAAATCTTAATCAATGTATGAATTGAAGCGGTAGTGAGAAGAGTTGCATTGCATTGTGATTCTCCGAGAGGGTTTGGAGAGGGTGGAGCATTAGAAGGTTTTTTATTTTTTTTTGGTAAGCTTGATTATATTGAAGAGTATATAAGAGTATTTATAGCATAAGCATTAGAGTATGACTAATAAATATATTAGAGTATATGTTTAGGTATATTAGACAATAGTAAGGGAAATCTTTAACAATGAACCTAGCTAATTGTGTAAATCAAGGAGTAAATCAAGGAATAATGATATTGATGATATCATAATCCTTTACTATTATTATGGAAAATAAAAAATCATTATTATTCTTAAAATAAAAAATCATCATATCAAATAAATTTATCAAAATTAAATATCGTTACACATGAAAGTTAATTACGGAGTATTATAACTTGAATATAATTTTGATAATAAAATATATATACTAGAATAATGATTATTGATCTTATATAATATTTTTGCCAACTTAGATATTTATAAAAAAGATAATACGGAGTATAATATAAACTTGTATACTTCATGTCTGAATTAGGCAGTTACAAAAAGATATAAGACAACCTATCTATTTATTTCCTAACATAAAATATTGTCTATAAAAAAAATGGTATATCATAATTTTTTGTTAGTGGCTTAGTGCATTCGTACATAATAATATGCATAAAAAAAAATAATGGCTTTATGGAAATTATTACTATGCATAGTGGGACACTGGAACTAGAGTAATAGTTTAAATTAGTATCCAACTTAGTTTGTACTCCGTATATTTTGTAAAGACCATCAATTATATACCATATCGAATACACGGTAAGTTGGTAATACAAGTTTATATCTAATGAAGAAAAAATTCAAATAAATACAAAAAAAAATAAAAAAATCACAGTTCGTATATACCAGAATAAAGATAATTGAACTTATATAATAATATTTTTGCCAAAAAATATAACTTTTTTTATCTTATGTGATACAGTTATTATTGTGTAAGAAGTTTGATGACTGTTTATACATATGTACATGACCAAATATTTAGAATAAACTATACATATATATTTGGACTAATGCATTCTCCATATATACTTTGAAAATTCTACAATTATTATTACAAGTGTTATTATAAAAGATCATGCATATAAAGTTTTATAATATTACATTTTTATGTATATTTTTATTAATGTTTAACTATTTATATTTATGGTCAAACATTAATAAATCTGCTAAGTTTGACAATGTCAATATTATAAAATGGAGGCAATATCAAATATCTACAAACATATGCACATTATTCTCTCACACACAAGCAAAATAAATATGTTAAATGTACATACTACCATCGTTTTTTTTTTTTTTTTGTTCTACACAGAGTTCGTAGTATTTATGGGGTCAAACTAAAAATATATGGCCATCATTTGCTATTTATATATAAATAAAATTCTCATGTACAAGCTTACTATAATCATTTTAATGTATACTCAATATTATTCAGAAATCAAATTTACATTCATACAAGCTTAAAATATTTGGTGAAATATTGACTTTGGAAGCCTCATCACAACGTAAGTGAATATAACAAAAAAAAAAAGTACAGATGTAGTATAAAACAAATACTACTAAAATATTTATCCAAAAGTAATGATGGCAATTGGGTGGTGCGGGTACCCCCTCCACTATATCCGCATCTGCCAAATTTTTATATTATGTGACCTACTTGACACCCGCGATAAGTAAAACTTTAACACCCACATCCGATCCACCACCTATGTTGATATCCATTACTCGGCTGCCTATTATCCGCTAACCTAACAAAATTTATTTGATAAATTTCCTATAGAACAACATGTCATTATGTTATCTCTAGATTGTTGTAAATACATACTTTAATAATATATTATATAAGTAAGTAGTCAATTTGTATGCAAGTAGTCATTTATCGTTACAAATACAAAAAGAATTAAATAAAAAATTAAGGGTAGTAATAAGTTGTAGGTTGTTGGGTGGGTAGGCGGGTAATAGGGGGGTTTGAGATCAAATTCACCACTTATCCACTACCTACGATGGGTATGACTTGTATCCATACCCACCTGCTTACCTGTCAAAGTTGGATCCATACCCGCTCCAACTAAGACGGGTGCGATGCGTGACTTACATTTTTATACCTATATGCCATTCCTAATTTTAAGTCTATAAATAATTTAATAGGTAAAATAATATTACAATAATTATGTAGTATATATTAGCGTTAAATCATGCTAT